AGACCCTCAGTTGTCAGAGCGGCCGGCTCGACCGCCGACCCTCCGCTTACTGCCGGCATCGCCTTGGGCGTGCCTAGTCTTGGGGTTAAAAAAGAAGGACGTCCCTCATCTCATTTCCGCAAATTAAACATCAAGAAAATTCTGTCTTCCAAAATGTATAACTGCAGGGAGAAACCCACACAAATCCAGAAATTTCCATGACCATCTTTTACATGGGAAACTACTGCTCTGAACTCTTCTGGACAGATTTTTCAAGTGGATCGGTGTTGATCACTGAGCTAGAGCTAAATGTGAAATAAATTTGACTTTTTGCTTGCTCCAGGGCTTACTCTGAATTGATCCTGCAAACACGTAAACATACACTTAATTTCCTGAGTTAGGTTATGCATATTTCCAAGATGGGACCCTGTGTGCTAAGGAATAAAAGTTGTGTCGTGCAATGGACGTATGAACAAATTTTGTTTTCCCCTATGCTTTCCTGGAAGAGGAACACAAAACTACTGTGAAGGATGGCGGACTCATCCAAGTGCCTACCTTCAGTCCATGGGATAAGGAAAACATAAATGGAAACACAATCTGTTGTCTGCTAGACATTGCTTTGCTGTGTGCAAATAAAAGTCTGCAATGTGGGTAATATTTACTGACTTTAAAGGAAAAAATATTAGGATAAATGAATTAGTGTTTCCAAAACATTAAATAGAGAGCAATTAAAATTCAGAATGGGGAAAGAATTCTAGACTTCTCTAAAATGGGAAATTCAGGATTAGAGGATCATTGAATAATTCAGGCTGGAAGGGACCTCAGGACATCTCTCCCATCCTTACACCTAGTGTAAATTTCTTTGTCTCTTCCCAAGAGTAAAGGCAACCTGCTGTCATTTTATGGTGACAATCGGCATTTTACGCTATGAAAAGCTGGACATGAGCCAGCAGTGTGCGCTGGCAGCCCAGAAGGCCAACCGTACCCTGGGCTGCATCAGAAGTAGCGTGGCCAGCAGGTCGAGGGAGGTGATTCTGCCCCTCTGCTCTGCTCTGGTGAGACCTCACCTGGAGTACTGCATCCAGCTCTGGAGCCCTCAGCACAAGAAGGACATGGAACAGTTGGAGCAGGTCCAGAGGAGGGCTACTAAAATGATCCGAGGGCTGGAGCACCTCTCCCATGAGGACAGGCTGAGAGAGTTGGGGTTGTTGAGCCTGCAGAAGAGAAGGCTGTGGAAAAACAGGGACAATCTTCTTAGCAGGGCCAGCTGTGACAGGGCAAGGGGTAATGGTTTTAACTAAAACAGGGTAGATTTAGACTGGATATAAGGAAGAAATTCTTCACAATGAGGGTAGTGAAACACTGGAATGGGTTGCCCAGGGAGGTAGTGGAGGCCCCATCCCTGGAAACATTCAAGGCCAGGTTGGATGGGGCTCTGAGCAACCTGATACAGTTGATGTCCTTGCTCACTGCAGGGGTGTTGGACTAGATGACCTCTAAAGGTCCCTTCCAACCCAAAACATTCTATGATTCTATTGTGGTAAAGTAAATGGCTTCTTGCATAGCTGTTAAACCTTGTGCTCAAGCATGTGTCCCATGCCTGAGAGCACCTCATCACAGTGCATGGCCTTCAGCCTGTTTCTTGAGCTCCAGATGATGGCTGGCCCGTGCCCTCCGGAGTGTGGTAGGTAGGGCTCCACTGGCAGGCATGGCTCTCAGGTAGCAGCCAGCACCTCGGGCAGGGACCTCACGACAGGGGTGCTCAGCTGCACCATTTCTTCCAGCGAGCTGAGAAATCTGCCTCAAAACTGAAAGGCTCAATAAAAAAAAGTTGGTAAAGCTTCCCATCTGCCATAGTCTCTGGAACTGAAAAAAAAGTTTAAAGGCCCTAATGTCTTAGAAAAAGGTGGTTCTTACTACCATTTTTATTACTTCCTCCTAGCTGGTACTTTGGAAACCCTGACAAGTATCAGCTGATTTGCCCACAGCAAATCGTTACACTCTGGGGAAAGCTTCCCATGCCTACATGGGAAACAGAATAGAGCAGGAATCTCTGAACATGGCTACAGTATTTTTGAAAGAGTAAATATTTTACATGGCCGATTGTAACCTATCCCTACTGCCTTAAGCTAATAGCATAAGAAACCCGCAGAGATAACATACATCGTCAGGTAACAGAGAGAGTCAGTCAAGAACACCCTTTTTATGATCAGGGTTTGTGAGCATTATGCAATGTCGGGGCTTTCTGCTGCTCACCTTCTTTCAGCCTCAAAGTCCGTTCTGAAGAGATAAGCCACAGAGGATATGAGTGAAAGGTCTTTCTGCTCTGGTTCCCAAAAAAGAGAAACAAAGATAACATAAAGAAGTATTAAGACATTATCACTTCTTGCATTAACCTGTTCTCGTTCCATGCAAGAACCACTTTCACACAGGAACTTCAGACTTGAGACCTTTGGACGTGAGAATCTTTATACCTGAAGTTTCTGGAGTACAAGCATTTTGCAGAAAAACAGACTTAAGGTGGAAAAATTTTCAGGTGGGTTAATTGCCACAAATTATGAACTTCAGCATAATAAATACACATTTCTAGCCCCCCTTTTCTGCCTGTGACTATTCATATATAATTGAGGCCACAGTTTTTAGATTTTTCTGATTGTCCCCAGACCCACTCATATGTACCCAAGCAGCAGGTATATTCTGTGGCAAGTGCCCCAGCTCTGCTACCCAGCTTGTCCATATTGGGGACCTGGGCATACTGGTGCCCCGCATATCTTGATGTTTCAGCCCAACTACCTAGGGCAGCGGAAAGAAGGCACCGTGATAAAGAGGCAGTGTGTCTATCTTGGCGTACCTGTCTTTTTGCAGTGGTAACATTGCAAATAAGGACTCAGACAAACTGTTCCAGGACCTGCTAACTTGGGTTCAGGGGTTACTGGCCACCGTCTGCCTGTTATAATCAGTTAGTCTGTACCTTACCCTTGCTCTGGCAGTTTAACTGTTCATCTGACCAGCCACTAATTGGTGTTTTTAGAAAATGGTCTGAATTGAAAAAGTAATTATCCCCTTATAATCTTTAGAAAGTAATTTTCTAGCATTGAATTCTGGACTGACCAGGTGTTCAGAGTTTTCTGCTGTCACGCAGAGACTCTTCACCTAACTTGACTGCCACAAACAGTGAAGCTGCATTTACCTGCTCCTCTGGGAACTAACAGATCTTGTCAGCATACCTCTGAAAATTACTGAAGGGAAAGAAAATATGAAATGTGTTTAAAATTAAAGCCTTTCTAATACTTAACCTTCCAAAATATTTTATTTTCTTTTAGTTGAAAATGTAAGAGTTGACTGGTAATTAAACCTAATGGCAACAATTTATTTTAAAGACAATTAAAAATTAAAAAATTAAAGCCTCAGGTCATGCTCTTCCTGTAACTGAATACTCAAAGTTCAGCTGTTTACTATTTTGCTGACTGGTCTGTGTTACAGCCTCGATACTCTGGGCTTGTTTATCTCATCAACAGATACATACTGCATTTTACTTTCCTCTGTGATCAAGTGTATGAACAGGATGGGTGTTAGAATCTTTATATATTAGCCCATTATTTCTGTAATGTTAAAAACACACTTCTACAACACTTTTTAACGTAAAGTTCTTCCAGTTAATGTTCTGACATAGAAACAGTAAGTTAAAGAAGCCTTTTGTCTCTAAGAGATTTAAAAATCAATTTTATATTTGTGATCTCTTGCGTTGGTGTGCATAAACATATATAAATTATGTTAAGAGAATTAAAGTTAGAAAAAAAGTTTAAGCTACTCTTAATGCACTAATAAGTACAAGGATCAGAATGTTTTCAGGGTTAGGTTCTTAATGAGGAATAAATTAGGTAAAAATATTTTATGGAGTTTTTAAAAGAGCTATTTCAGAACAGTTCTAAAGGCAGAAAATATTCAGTAGAGTTGCTCTAAACATCAGTTTACTATATGGTCTGTATTTAGTAAAGCAAATAAATAAATCCATGTACAATTTGAAAACAAAACTAATGGAAGAACCTCATGAATAATACATATGAATAATGTACATTTTGTAGTTTGGGTATAAAAGACTTTTGCAACAGGAAAATTGTTAACAGGTATTTTTACTACTAAAGGATATAATTCCATCTAGTTTTGCTGAATCACATTTTTGTAATATCTGTTTTACTACTATTTACTTTCTGATTCCTGCAGATAGCTTAAGAACCAGCATTTTAGCAATCTTGGTAGTATTTGCATCAGACCATTTGCACTCAGAAAGACCACCTAAATTAACTGCACAAACTACTAGCAATAATTAAAATTAACTTTTAGTTGTAGCATATTTTTAATATAATCACTAGTTATAATGACAGTATGCAAGCCATTAGTTAAAACACTACAGAATAGGAATAAAGTTAATAAATTAAAGCTATTATTTTAAGGCATTATATTTTCTGAACCATTAGGATCACAGTAGCAATGTACCATAGTCCATTACAAAAGAAACGCACTTTCTGGTTGCTCTGGTGAGCAAGTAACCTATTAAACCAATCTAATACTTAACAAATGTGAACTATGCCTCTGTTTTCATCCCATGCCGAAAGCTCAGGCTAGGACACTCTGCATTTTAGAAGCGTGCAATTCCTTTCTTTTCTGCAAGGGGGAATTCACATCTCCCTCACATT